AGTTTGCCAATAGAGTTTTACCGCAAAAATCAGAATTTTAAAACAGGTCTAACAGTGGTAAATATTTGAATATGAAAACTCTTAAACGATACAATTGCCTGTCACTAGGGTTCCAAATTTCAAAGAGATTGATAAACAAACGAAGAATTTGAACCAAGAAAATGGTTTCTACATTTTTGCTAAATGCTAATTATGTCTTTTGCACAATACATTTGAAAGTAAGGTTTAGTCCATTATATCTCATTCGAACCCGGTGTGTAATGGGACATCAGAATGTGTTTAGTGATATCATATTAAATATCAATACAAATTGGCAAACCACTGATTGTTGATACTGATATCTACAAGGCAATAATGATATCATGAGAAACAATCTGATATTGATGTATTTCTCAAGATCTAAATCAAAAATTCAAATTCATTTATCATACAGATTTGGCAGACAAATAATTTATTGAAAAATATGTATCACACAGATCTCCAAAATATCAGAATTATCACTGGCTGTTGAAGTATAGATAATTACACAATAATCGTGCGATAAATATCTTTTTATTAATACTTTAGAAAGCGACCTGTGGTAAATAAATAACGAACATCAAACATATCCAATTCCACAAAACAATCACTTTTGAACTATCCCTGTAATTAAACTGGGTTAAATACCTTCATTAATTAAACTGGGTTAACCTTAAATACCTTCATTAATTAAACTGGGTTAACTACCTTCATTAATTAAACTGGGTTTACTTTAAACACATTCATTAATTAAACTGGGTTAACCTTAAATACCTTCATTAATTAAACTGGGTTAACCATAAATACCTTCATTAATTAAACTGGGTTAACCTTAAATACCTTAATTAATTAAACTGTGTTAACCTTAAATACCTTAATTAATTAAACTGTGTTAATCTTAAATACCTTCATTAATTAAACTGGGTTAACTACCTTCATTAATTAAACTGGGTTAACTTTACAAACCTTCATTAATTTAACTGGGTTAACCTTAAATACCTTCATTAATTAAACTGGGTTAACCTTAAATACCTTCATTAATTAAACTCTGTTAACTTTAAATACCTTCATTAATTAAACTGGGTTAACTTTAAATACCCTCATTAATTTAACTGAGTCAACCTTAAATACCTTCAATAATTAAGCTGGGTTAACCTTAAATACATTCATTAATTTAACTGGGTTAACCTTAAATACCTTCATTAATTAAACTGGTTTAACCTTAAATACCTTCATTAATCAAACTGGGTTAGCCTAAATATCTTCATTAATTAAACTGGGTTAACTTTACAAACCTTCATTAATTTAACTGGGTTAACCTTAAATACCTTCATTAATTAAACTGGGTTAACCTTAAATACCTTCATTAATTAAACTCTGTTAACTTTAAATACCTTCATTAATTAAACTGGGTTAACTTTAAATACCCTCATTAATTTAACTGAGTCAACCTTAAATACCTTCAATAATTAAGCTGGGTTAACCTTAAATACATTCATTAATTTAACTGGGTTAACCTTAAATACCTTCATTAATTAAACTGGTTTAACCTTAAATACCTTCATTAATCAAACTGGGTTAGCCTAAATACCTTCATTAATTAAACTGGGTTAACTTTACAAACCTTCATTAATTTAACTGGGTTAACCTTAAATACCTTCATTAATTAAACTGGGTTAACCTTAAATACCTTCATTAATTAAACTCTGTTAACTTTAAATACCTTCATTAATTAAACTGGGTTAACTTTAAATACCCTCATTAATTTAACTGAGTCAACCTTAAATACCTTCAATAATTAAGCTGGGTTAACCTTAAATACATTCATTAATTTAACTGGGTTAACCTTAAATACCTTCATTAATTAAACTGGTTTAACCTTAAATACCTTCATTTATCAAACTGGGTTAGCCTAAATACCTTCATTAATTAAACTGGGCTAACTTTAAATACCTTCATTAATTAAACTGGGTTAACTTTTAACACCTTCATTAATTAAACTGGGTTAACCTTAAATACCTTCATTAATTAAACTGGGTTAACCTTAAATACCTTCATTAATTAAACTGGGTTAACCATAAATACCTTCATTAATTTACCTGGGTTAACTTTAAACACCTTCATTAATTAAACTGGGTTAAATACCTTCATTAATTAAACTGGGTTAACTTTAAACACCTTCATCAATTAAACTGGGTTAACCTTAAACACCTTCATTAATTAAACTGGGTTAACTTTAAACACCTTCATTAATTAAAACTGGGTTAACTTTAAACACCTTCATTAATTAAAGTGGGTTAACTTTAAACACCTTCATTAATTAAACTGGGTTAACCTTAAATACCTTCATTAATTAAACTGGTTTAACCTTCAATACCTTCATTAATTAAACTGGGTTAACCTTAAATATCTTCTTTAATTAAACTGGGTTAACCTTAAATACCTTCATTAATTAAACTGGGTTAACCATAAATACCTTCATTAATTAAACTGGGTTAACCTTAAACACATTCATTAATTAAACTGGGTTAACCTTAAATACCTTCATTAATTAAACTGGGTTAACCTTAAATACCTTCATTAATTAAACTGGGTTAACCTTAAATACCTTCATTAATTAAACTGGGTTAACCATTAATACCTTCATTAATTAAACTGGGTTAACCTTAAATACCTTCATTAATTAAACTGGGTTAACCTTAAATACCTTAATTAATTAAACTGTGTTAATCTTAAATACCTTCATTAATTAAACTGTGTTAATCTTAAATGCCTTCATTAATTAAACTGTGTTAATTTTAAATACCTTCATTAATTAAACTGTGTTAGTCTTAAATACCTTCATTAATTTAACTGTGTGGCCTTAATGTTACATCAGTTTTCCCATAGTTAGTTTTATGTCACCACCAAATCAAAAAGTGTTGACATATGGTTATGGTCTCCATTTTTTATGTCACCACCAAAAAGTGTTGACATATTGTTATGGTCTCCATTTTTTGATGGCGGTTGGTGGTTGGTGATTGGCTGTTGGCCGTCTGTAACAAATTGTGATGTAACATAACTTCCAATAACTTAACAAATACTATTTAGACGGACTTCAGTTTTTTCAAAATCATCTACAAGTTTTAAGAAATTCAAATCTGACTTTTTATTTAAGATTTGACCTTCAGTGACCTTCTCAAGATCGAAATAAGGTCAAAAAGGTCTTTTTTCAACTTGCTTCAAATTGACCAATTTTTTTACAATCAAATTGACCAAATATTTTTTTCAAAATCATCTACAAGTTATCAGATGTTCAAATCTGACTTAAGATTTGAAATTTGACCTTCTCAAGGTTATTAAAAGGTCAAAAAGGTTTTTTTCAACTTGCTTCAATTTGACCAATTTTTTTACAATCAAATTGACCAAATATTTTTTTCAAAATCATCTACAAGTTATCAGATGTTCAAATCTGCCTTTAATGATATTCTCAAGGTCAAAAAAATATTCGACCTTCTCAAAAAGGTCTTTGTTCAACTTGCTACAAATTGAGCATTTTATCAAAATCATCTACAAGTTCTCAATGCCTTGTTTATCATGGTGATTAGCGGTTGGTGTCTGTAGTAAAGGATGGTGTCAATGCTTTGTTTTATTAAATCCATACGTTTTCCCTAATGTTACCTAAAGGACTATTCTCGGTTTGGAGAACAAAGTTCATCACTCTATTTGAGCATTACCCTTGCTTCGGACAAATTTGTTTATTTCTAATGTAGAATTAAATTAAGGATTTAAGCCCTGGACTCAGTTGCAATGTGGAATGACCATTCCTTTCAGGCGTTGTTTCCTAAAATTAACATTCGATGCTTCACATCTCGTAAAAATTTTGGAAAGCAACACCTTCAAGGAATGGTCATTCCACATTGCAACTGAGTCCAGGGCTTAAATCCTTAATTGAAATAACCTTATGTATGAAAAATAGGATTCAATCGAATCACTGCTGAGGATTTAATAAGGCAATTAAATGCAATGTTTTCTACAAATACCCTATTTAGTATTTCCTTGAAATAATCACGGTATTCTCTGGGGCTGTTATGAAGATCTGTATTTCTTTCTTACTTATTTTATTTATTCATGAATCCCTCGAGACTTTTAAAAATCAGTACCAAAGTATATCCTAACTGAACCTTTTGGAAAAATAAGAATCCCAATAATTTACCCAGAACTTCATACTGTAGCTAACCTCATCTTAGTCTAAGTAGTAGCATATCCTTAGCTGAACATATTGGATAAATGGCTTTAATTTTCATAATTAAGGAGATAGTCAGGTGAAGCAACGATTATGGTAACATCAGCCTTAGTAAACAATAACCTTGGAACAAGCTTAAGTCTAGGGTAAAGCCCTTATGTTATTCAATTATATGGTCTCAATGGAGAAATGGTGACATTTTGTTATTAGTGACCTAAATGTTCCAATGTTAATTTTCCATCAGGTGTGATCATCAGATTTATGTTCAGCATCTGTAAGAGTTAGTGCTTTTTATGTCACCACATGTCTCCACCACAAGTGGTGACATATTGTTTTGGTCTCTACTTTTTATGTCACCACATGTCTACACCACAAGTGGTGACATATTGTTATGGTCTCTACTTTTTAAGTCACCACGTGTCTCTACCACAAGTGGTGACATATTGTTATAGTCTCTACTTTTAATCTCCACATGTCTCCACCACAAGTGGTGACATTTTGTTATAGTCTCTACTTTTTATGTCACCACATGCCTCCACCACAATTGATGGCATATTGTTATAGTCTATCACTTTTTATGTCACCACATGCCTCCACCACAATTGGTGACATATTGTTATAGTCTATTACTTTTTGTGGATGATGTATGATGGTCGGTGTCTGTAACAAATGGCAGGTGACATTTTGCATGTTAATACCTAGTCTTGTGTGTAATTGCAGGAACCTGATAATGATGTTAATCCCTTATATTTTCCAGACACTCCCTGCATTGTGTACGGATCAAGCAGAAATGGATTTTCTGATGGAGGCAGTCATAATGAGTAAATTCCAACACAAAAATATTGTTCGTTTTATCGGCGTTTGTTTCGAGAAGCATCCACGTTTCATCATCCTTGAACTTCTGGAGGGAAATGATATGAAGACGTTTCTACGAGAGTCCCGACCAAAATTGGTAAGAAATTCTGAACTTTGATGAAATACTCAACCTAATGAAGTCTGAGACCTCAAGTGGAGTCCTGAACCTCATTGAAATCTTGAACCTCAATGAAATACTGAATCTTAATGAAGTCCTGGACTTCAGTAGAGTCCTGAACTTCAATGAAGTCCTTGAGGTCATAGAAATTTTAAACCTTATTGAAATCTTGAACTTCAAAGAAGTCATAAACTTCAATGAAATCTTTAGACTCAATGAAGTCCTGAATTTCTATAAATGCCATGGCTCCTATTCAGTATTCTGGAATAATTTGGTTTTTGTTGTCAAAATATCACATTCTAATACACACTACATGCCATGCTTGCATGTAGAGTGTGATCGTGATAATTTGTCTATTCTAGCATCTTCAAGACATATTCTTGAGACATTTATCCTTGAGACATACATTGCCCTTGAGTTGAGACAAACATTTAATTCTTAATTCTTACTTATTGAATCACACCTGTGCTAATAGCCTATCATCACTCTTATATTGATTAATTCTGGATCTTTAAGACTGACATTTTTACTAATACATAATTTTCCACAAAATAATGATTAGTTACACATACTGAGTATTTATTCAAGCAATCTCTTGCAAACTCCTAAAAATTTTAAATCCTCGATGAAGTCCTGAAGCTGGATGAAGTCCTGAACCTCATTGAAATTGTTAACCTCAATGAAATTGTTGACTTCAATGAAATTCTTAACGTCAGTTAAATCCTTAACTTCATTGAAGTAAAGAACCTCATTGAAATCCAGAGCATCAATACAATCCTGAACTTAAATAAAATCCTGAGCTTCAATAAAATCTTTAACCTCATTGAAATCCTGATCCTCATCAAAGTCCTTAACCTCATTATAATCTTAAACCTCAATGAAGTCCTAATTCTACATGTTTTTAAAATGTTTTGGTCTAAAAGTAATAACTGTGTGATTTTTCTTTAATTATCAGATAATGAAACAATTATTTCTGTCAAAGCAAAAGAATAATATTAGAAGAATCATCTTAGTATTAAATCTATTTATCCTATGCTTAGTATCAATTTTTTATAAGGATTTTACGAGAAAAACTTGACCATGCATGATGGAATTACTGATTCATACTTGTCATTTACTTCAGCATATCTGGTTGTGACAGTGAAACTAAATAAATCGGTTGGAAGCAAGAAACGCCATCACTCAACCGATAATTCATGTCATGATTTTTTTAGCTGATTTGTCAAAATTAATTGAAAGTATAAAATATAATGAAAAATAATGTTTGAACGTGAGCAATGTGTCAATGATTGACTGATGCCTATTAACAATGACCTTGGGCTCCATATATCATTCGTAAGCTGACCTTGAGAAATAAAGTAGCTTCATGAAATAAATGCAAAAAGAGAACTTGCAATTCTTTTTCTATGAAACAAATACATCCTTTAGATGATTTGGATGTTTATGACATCTATTATCTTAATTAAAACTTGGAAGTAGACTGTTGTCATGGTTACGAAAAGTAAAACATAAAGTGAGTGGGCAATAATTGCTTAGTGCAATAACCCAGGTTAGGCCGCTATTTTAATTTCCTATTGATGCAATCACAAATGTGCTCTTGTAACATGTCAGCACTGATGAGCTTATTCAAAAGTTACTCAGTAAAGTTCATGGTTTTGAACCCAGATTTTCAAGTACCAATATACTTGTGTTCTACCCTGAGAGCTTGTGGTCAGTAGGAATAATGACCCTCTGGAAAGGACAAAAATATAGTTTCGAAAATAAAGACCCAAAAAGTGCTTTTGTGACTTCAATTTTGATTTTGATCAACTTTAATATTCTGTTTAGGTGAGTCTAGATAAAAGAATCATAATCTGAGAGAGTGTTTAATGTGATGAATTCAAACTTTTGAAGAATTGCAGTTTTCTAGAAGACGATATTAATTGATTCCTGTCTCTCTGACATTCATATATGTTTTTCTTGATCTGATTGGATGAGCTGTTACCGTTGCAAAATCAGATGATTATTGTAAATTATTTGCGCTTAATTTCAATTATCTCTGAAGCATTATTTTTAAGTCTCTGATTAGTTGTAAATATAAACTAAAGTGAAATGACATCCAATGATTATATGACGTACAGTTGAGCTGAGATGAAACGTCTCATAATTGCTGGATTTGAGATCCTTTAGTTGGCACCTACATAATCATGGCATGATTGACAAGGAAAAATACATAGTTTTTCATAATGATCACCTGTTGGCACTTCTTCATTTCATGAGAAACAATGTGACGTCTAATTAACAAGTTTGTCACATGATTTTTCTTAATGTGTATCATTTCATAGAATTCATGGAATATCTCAAATTTTACCCTTAAGTAGATTGATTCCCATCTTAGGTGAAACTAAAGATAGAATCAATCACAGTTGAGAAATGAAACACTGTTAATTAAAATGTCATACTAAAAGTACACTCATCGTACCATATTCGAAACAAAAAACACCAAATCCCTATTTTATGTACAGAAGTGCCCACTATACTTCATTTCTTGCTGTTCACCCAGCTGTAACTGAGTAGACTTGCCTCAAGATTGTGTACCCCCCCTTGTCATTATGTACTTTGTAGTTCATCTTGACCAATACATCGGGTGATTGAAGTTGATCAGGGAGGAGAGGGGGAGAGTTCAGACTATGACTGAGTTCCAATCAATGAGTTTGCTCTAAGGCATTGTTACACTGAGCAGGCTGTAGCCAGGATTTGCCAAGGGGGTTCACATTTTAAAAAATTCCAGTGGGGGTTGCCCAAAAATGTCAGAATGGTGAAACAGTACATGATTTTGAAAGAATTTTTGGCCAGGGAGCCCCTGAACTTCACCCCCCCCCCCCCCCCCCCGGCTACTGGTTTGCTTAGTTTTGATGTTCTAGGACAGCTTTGAAATTAAAAATAAAATTAGGTGTTAATCTTAGTGAATATGGTATGTCTGTGAAATTATTCTGTGGTGTATACCTCTTAATTAATAATTGCTTTTAGCTAAAAGAGCATCATGACCTCCAGGGAAAGTGTCCAAATTTCAAAAATAAAAATTTTGAAATAAATTTTTTGGCAATGATTTTGAAAAGAAGACATTCTTTTTACGATACCTTGCATTTGAACACTTATATATTTTTCATATTTGATCACCCATTTCAATATTTTTCTTTTAGCCAGTCTTTTCTAAATTTGAGTATTATTTTAAAGATGATATTGCATCTATTATATTGAGGATGTAAATAAATAAATAGTACAAAAATAAAAAATGGTATTCCTGAGTTTATAATTAATATTTCCAGGATCGACCATCCCCTCTAAGCATGCCAGACTTGATTAAGATGTCATTAGATGTCAGCTATGGATGTCAGTACCTGGAGGCCAATCACTTCATCCATCGTGACATCGCAGCCAGAAACTGTCTCCTCACGACCAAGGGGCCGTATAGAGTTGCCAAAATAGCCGATTTTGGAATGGCCCGAGATATATACAGGTTTGGACTAGTATTATCTTTATGTCAACATCACAAGTGGTGATATATTTTATATACATGTACATATAGTCTTCAACTCTATTTGAGGAAGTTGTTTGGTGGTTGGCATTCAGAGTTTGATATTTGGAGTTTGGTGTCTGTAACAAATGGTATGTAGTGACATTATGCATTTTAATGCCTTGTTTATTTTTATATCACCACCAAGAAGTGGCCACATATGGTCAAAGGCACCTTTTTGTGACTGGCATTAAATTTGTCAACCTGTGTTAGTTTCTTGACAACGGTGTCTTTGACAACTGTTACAATTTCTAGATTTGTGATTTGGACTTGGTGGGGACATGTTTGTCATATGTTAATCTATAAATCATCAGCTTTCCAACCGTACCAAGTTTGTGTGAATCCATGATTAAAAAATGTAAACACCAGACACAATAAAATTTTAAACCAAAATGATTTAAAATAACATGTTGGAATTTATTGATTGCTGATACATCTTTTTTAATCATTATTGTTTCTGTTTTCAGGGCTGACTATTATAGAAAAGGGGGTAAAGCTATGCTACCTGTCAAATGGATGCCCCCTGAGGCATTTCTTGATGGAATATTCACTTCAAAGACTGATGTCTGGTCCTTCGGAATTTTGCTTTGGGAGGTTTGTAGAGCTTATTTCTCCTTTGATCTTTTCTTGATTTTTGTCTCTATTTAATACTTCTTGTACAAGTATATAGCTTTTTCTATTATTGTGGAATTTTGAGTTTGTTTCACACAATATGTATGAACCATATTCTTGCCCATAACCAGATTTTATCAAGGAGGGAGCTTTTGCTAAGGGGGTACACTTTGGCTAAAAATTCATGTGAAAAGTGCTCGGAAAGTCAGAATGGTGAAAAAATGCATGATTTTGAAGCAATTTCTAGGGGGAGCTCCCCCCTGGCTTTTAGCCTGATATACAATGTATATAAAATAATAATATATAACTCTTTCATGTTTTTTAGGTGTTCACCCTGGGTTACATGCCTTACCCAGGCCGTGGGAATCAAGAAGTCATGCAGTTTGTCACAAATGGCGGGAGATTGGAAGCCCCGGATAATTGCCCCGCGCCCATATATGGTATCATGACTGATTGCTGGAAGAGTGTCGCAGAATTGAGATCCAATTTTACGCAGATTATAGAACGACTTGGTTACTGCTCACAGGTAAAGGTCATATTATGAAGCAACTTTTTTAGTTAATATTATCCAATATTTTATTGCATAAAGTTTTAAGATCTGAGAGCTAAATTATTTTTAGAGATACTGTTATGTCTTAGTCTGTCAGATAAGAGTACTTTATAGCATGATGCTGCATTGTGTATTCTGCATTGGAATTGAAAAACCTGTACAGAAAAATTATAGCATATTGGCTAAATTGATTATGTCATGCAGGCCCGTAGCCAGGGGGAGTTCCGGGGGTTCGGTCAAACCCCCCTGGCCAAAATTTCTTTCAAAATCATGCAGTTTTTCACCATTCTGACTGTTTTTTGAGTGATTTTTGGCCAAATTTGCCAAAGTGAACCCCCCTAGAGTTTTTTGGAAAAGTGAACTCCCATGGAAAATTCTGGCGTCAGCCCTGTCATTGGTGTACGTAGAAAACTTACTGCTGATTTTTAAAAATAAACCTATGACATCATCAAGCTGGCCAATATATCAAAGTTTCTCTGATACATGTATATTAAAAGGTGGCAGGATTTATCGGAAAGATCTAATGATGATGATGATGATTGGGAAATCTATCTTCTCTATTTGGCTAGTTGTTAAGCCTGTCAGTGTTTAGCAATTTACCTTTAACGACCTTTAAAACAATTTGTTTGTACATATACATTGTATCAAAATTAATAACTATAAATTAGTTTGCGCTTACCCATACATGTAAAGGCTGACATTAATTTTTAGGACCCAGATGTGACTTCTGCTGCTCTGCCAATATTTTTCCGACCGCCTTCGATTGAGAAAGATCAAACATTGATGCGCCCAAAAGATCCAGATAGTCACGTTCTTCGGGTGGAAGCTAATCCGACAAACAAACCTCATGTCTCATCGAATATGGAATCCATTGAACAAATTTTATCATGTAACAATAATGAATCTCTTCTTGACTGTTCAAGGGGTCTTAAAACAAATCAAGAGACCCCTGCTAATAACACTGAAAATGATTTACTTTTACCGCAATCTTACGAGAATTCTCCTAGGCGGAAAGTTACAAGGAAATCCAATAGCCCAAATGCCTCAACGGGCAGGGAACATGTTCCTTTTAGGATCACAAATGGCGATACCTCATTTGTAAATCGGAACTTAGGAGGTTTGAACCAATCGCAGGTTTTGACGCAGAATCCTATATTTAACAAGTCAATGTCAAAACTTGATCCACCAGTCTTGACAGCACTCAGTCCCGAGAAAAAACATCATGGACGAAGAAACAATTTCAGTAATTCGAACGGATTTACTCCTCCAAGCGTAGAAATAAACACAGATGACTCGGGTGTGGATATATCATAGGACAAAGTATTTATCCCCATTTTACTAGGAACCCTTTAGCTAGAATTACTACACTCTGACTATAATAAACAAATGATTTATAAAAGTTGACCTTTACATAGTCAAAAAGTACAGGGTGTCCCTCTCATTACACAGACTGTGTATCATAATTGTAAAGAGACTTACGGACACCCTGTAAATTAATAATTGTGCTTGAACATAACTGATTGTAGACTAGGTAGACATACATTGTAGACTACATGTAGGTTGTAAAGTCATGTGAAGTAGTTATGCTATTCCAAAGGATAGTGATTTATTGTATATTGTCTGACAATTGTAATGAATACAAATTACTTCCATACATGAACAATGTATGTAGACATTAGAAGCAAAGGAAATTGCAGTGTTTTCATTAATTTATTCTCAAATGGGTGCAATATTTTTCATCTGCACAAAGAACCTCTACACTTTGCCAAAATTACAGTGCATTTTGTGTATATATTATGTAATTTAAGAGGCTACCTTTTGTCATGGAAAGAAGTTTTTAAATACAAACTAGGTACCTAGGCCGACAACAAGGATTTCAAAGCAGGGGAAAATAAAGGGCCTTTTTGAAATTTTAAGTCCAGTTTCAAAAAGGCAAACTTTTTCCAAAAAGGCAGAAGAAATGATAAAATAAAAGTTGAAGGGTAGAACGATACTATTCTTCAAAACCTTACCCCCTGTCCCCTGACATAATAGACAAGCTGATGCCTACAATAAACAACATATCTTAGTAACATAGTTCAGAACCGTAGCCAGGGAGGGTTCGAGCGAACCCCCTGGCCAAAAATTCTTTCAAAATCATGCAGTTTTTCACCATTCTGAGCACATTTTAAGTGATTTTGGCCATTTTTGGACCAAGATTGTCAAAAGTGAACCCTCCCTGGAATTTCCCAAAAAGTGACCCCCCCTTGGCAAATCCTGGCTACGGGCCTGTAGATCCTCGTAAAATGCAATATAGTGGTTAATAAGATCTCTAGATGAGACAATTTGATCTTGAAAGAGGTAATTGTAAATACACTTGTGTCACTCTGATCTAAGTAAGAGATTGAATGATGTTTTTACGGAGTAATGTCATATTATGGATATGTACACATGCACCTGGGTTCTCGGTTTTTTCTGTAGAAAGGAAAGTGTCTCGTATTGTTGCATTTGCTTTTATTTTCAAAAATTGAAGTCACATATCACCTAACAAGTTAATGATTGACCACATCAAAAATCAAAACGAGATTTGTCAAGTGCCGTTTTTGGACAAATTTGTAGTTTATTATATAAAACAGATTATTTGTGTTAGTGCAAAATATTTATTATGTGTAAATTGATAAGAGCAGTTTTACAAAATGAAAATAAATGTACATAAAGAATCATTCATTAGTGTGCTTGGACGAAGCCAGGAACCTAGCGTTTTACAGAATTCTGTTTCCTGGCTATTGCCCCAAGTGCTTGATATTATTATATGGATTGCCACCCAAGTTAGCCTTGGACAAGTTGGTCTCTTTTACTTATCTTGATCTCTATCTTGATTCCAATAATTCAAGATCAGATAAGTAAAAAGATACCAACTTGGGCAAGGCAACACCCAAGTGTTCATTTGAGGAATTGCAAGCATTAACCTAATGGTCAGCATTGCTGGAAGCATGCATTTCTCCATGTATAGAAACTGGGATATACCTTTTTAAAGCAAGCATAAGAAGTGAAAAACCCCAAGTATTCACATTAATTTGTAAATATGTCAATTAGAAAGTAATAGTATAGGATAATTCCTAGATGATAATGTCATCAGTTAATGAAAAAATGGGGAAAAGATATGATACAGAAGATACAAAAAGTCATACCGACATCAGTTTTGATATATTATTCAAATAGACTACATCAGATCATATAAACAATTCCAATGCTATATGAAACATCAGCTATTCGTACAAATAGAAGTACAGGTATTTTCTTTCTAAACATATCACACTCATGGTAAATATGGCACATTTCTGCGAATTATGGCATCTCATATATCTGATTAGACACAAAAATTAAAAATATCACGGCTCAATGTCAAGCTTGAATCTAGCCTTGCTAAATATAGTGTCTGATCTTGGAATTACATGTGATAATTAACACGTATGAATTGAAATGAAGAAGGGTGCAGTCAGTTAAATGTAGATTCAGTATGTTCCATTCTGAAATATACATGTAACAATACATGATTATTCTAGTTTAGTTCTAATTATCTTAAAACAGTGAGAAACCACTGGCCCGCTGTAGCCAGGAGGTTTGAGCAAACCCCTCCCCTGGCCAAAAGCTCTTTAAAAATCATGCAGTTTTTCACCACTACGAGCACTTTTCATTTTGGGTCAAAGTTGTTAAGAGTGAGGGTTCCCTCTGGAACTTTTTAAAAACTGAACCCCTTGGTAAAAGCTGCCTACTGGCCTGTAGACTATGAGGTTTCCAAATTGATAAGCAACACAAATGATTTTCCTTGGATGATTTCCACCATAAAGGTTAAGACACAAGGTGAAGTTTGAGAAAGTCAGGAGCATGAAACAGTTCAAAATATGGAAAGAAAAAAGCAGCCAGACTTTTTTTAGAATGTTTTCTTATGTCACCACCAGAAGTAGTGACATAATGGTGTAGTCTTCAACTTTTTTGTGAATGGCAGTTGGCATTTGGCATCTGTAACAAATGGCAGGTAGTGACATTTTGCATGTTATTGCCTTGTTCTAAATGGTTGGCTAACTGTGAAATATGCATGTTCAATTAGAATGACTTGGAAACTGCACTCTCAACATACAGTATTTGAAACAAACCTTGTTTCGTTTAAGGTTTGAACTTTTATATTTTTGAATTTTGAGTGTATTAAGGATAAGAAACCGATTTTCGGATTTTGAGGGTATTAAGGATAAGAAACTGATTTTTGAATTTTGAGGGTTTTAAGGATAAGAAACTGATTTTTGAATTTTGAGAGTATTAAGGATAAGAAACTGGGCTGGTTTATGTAAAGAAAATACTATTTACATGTAAATATTTGCATTGTAGACCTTTAGTGCACATTGTATAGATATGAAAAATTACACAATATTTGTGAAAGGTTTAATAAGTGGCTCAAATTGATGTTACCATGGTGTACATTAATCAAATTACACAATTGATGTAAAATAGTAATAAAAATGTCTGATTATTTATTTATTATATTTTGTTGTTTTTTTGTTGTGTATAATGTATCAGTTCTAATTACGTTGACCTCGCACATTGACGCAACCAAAAATGCTGTTTCTTTATCCTATAATCCTTTATTCTATAATGTATTTTAAAAAGTATTGGCAAGCATTTTATGTCTCATTTTCTAAATATTGGTGAAACAAGTGGTTTGACAATTATTGAAATTTGCTTAATTTTTGGCACATTTTTGCTAGACTCGGACCGTTGAACTAAACATCCTTTGCAAATAGTCATTTCGTAGCACTGTATTTATTTACAGTGCCACTGAATATAACTGATCATTTCAGTAAAAATGTTGACCGTACATTGTACATTACAGAAATGGATATAATGTTTCACAGCTATATTTCGGCACGCGATGCTACAGCGCCCAGTTTCTAGGGTATTGATTGTACTTTGTATTGTAAACCTGAGGATAAGAGAGATAAAATGCCTTACCGAAGTATACTCCTTTTTTAAATAAAAACATAAAAAAATAAAAAATGTCATAATTGAAACCTCTATTATTGGAACGCTACAAGCATCTTAGTTCAACCTGACACTAAAATACTCTTAAGCCCAAGTTACACTAGCACCTTTATCCCAGCATCCGTACATTGCCGGTGTGAAAGGGTAGGAGGTCCTATCAAATGATGGTCCTACTTTCCATTGATTTATATGGTGACCTAAATACAACTCTCCCTTATTATCGTATCCACAATCAGGGCCAGTAAGGGCCTTTAAGAAAGGGGACCATAATCCCCAGGGGACCATAATTTCTTTTACACCGGACTAAGCAGATTTGAGAAATCTGTTTATCCGTTCTTCTTTGACAAATGCTGGGATTGGGATAGACGTTCTTCGAGAATTGGTCTCCTAATCAAATCAAAAGAGATAAAATATCATTTTGTACAACTTAAGAATTAAAATAAATACACTCTTGAATACAATCTCAATCATAAATAAGTTAGATCCATTGAGGCGCCTTCAAAACTAATCAAACTAACCCGAATCAATGTTCTTTTCAATCATATTATACCTTATATTAATCTTATACTTGGTTTAGCCTAAAATGCATTGAGTGACGGTTGCAAGTTTTTGTATTGCCTTTTCAATTGACAAATTAATATTCAAAAGTAATGATAAAAGAATATACGGTTATCTTTATCAATCATCCTTCAGAAGCGCTTTAAAATACATATATTCATGGTTACTATTTAACTAATTTGAAAAGCTATCATACACTATATATAATATGTTATCTTATTATATACGCAGGTCAGACTCACTTTAAAATTCTGTTTGAAGATGGTGTTCAATACAGACCTAATTAAAGAATAGCACAATTCCAAAATACTAGGAATGTTTCGATACTAGGAATGTTGCAATACTAGGAATGTTTCGATACTAGGAATTTTTCAAAACTAGGAATGTTTCAATATGATGATAACGTGAAAACAAGTTTGAGTAGTACGCGGCATTACTACATAAAACCATAATAGTGAATGTACCAGTACAATTCAACCAACGTCAGAAATGAATGGTATTTCGTCAAGTAAGGGAAATGGTAATGTCATTTGGGAATCAACGGAGGACAATATGCATGCGCCAATGAAAGATGATCACATGGACGAAACACAAAGAGAGGACACCCCGCTTGCATTTTGCAGAATCGTTGCAAATTATCCCCGGGCATCATTTGGTAAATAAGGATTGAGAGCTCTTTCGCAGAGGGAAATTTGTTCAAATACTTTATAGTTGAATGATGTTTTTGTTGTTGTTATCTCTGAATTCGATTCTTCTTTTTTGATACCAGTAATTGTACTGTTTTGTGAATTGGTTTTATAGGCTGGTAGTGTCGAAAGTGATTTCCCTTTTCTAAGTTTAATGTATGAATGCAATCTACAATCGAAAGAGTACAATTAAGTGATGTTTAATCATAGCTGCAAAAAGTGTGTTTTAATGCTGACAATAACAGTGTAAAGATGGTGTACAAAGTTCAACAAACTTTTATCAAATTCTTTAAGGTCGTTATCATCAAGGTCAATGTTAATCAAGGTCAATGTTAGATTAAAAAGTTGTATGCACTCTATACCCGGTCATATTAGACCATACAGTTCCCTTTTAGAACACCCAGCTTTTTTTACCTTTGACACCGCAAAAATGTATGATTTTGTTCTATTTGATGGTAATGGACATACATTTAGACCAGTTTTTCATATCCCAAAATATATACAGTAATATCGTGTAAAATAATGATCTTTCTTTTCTTATCGTCTTCAGTTGTGGCATTATGTGGGCATCTATCCTTCGTGTTAATACTAGTGATTCTGATAGTGGCCGGTCAACCAGTGTTCCCGGTAAATTTCCAGACAATGCCATTGACATTAGACATACCGGAGCGCTTGAGGTGGTTAGCCTGGGAGCTCCGAAATGAAGATCGCAGTGCCGTGATTCGCAGATGGACGACTGACTCCATTGAACCATGGTGGACACGTGGTAGAGTTGTCGATCGTCTAGAATTGTTTTACGACTTCCCAGATGGAAATGTGTTTACTCCGGATAACCTCAAACGTATTGAAAGTATTGAAACAGAGATTTTTAAACAAGTTGATTACCAGAAGATATACTGTCATTATAGAGCGCCATCTATATCAAACTGTTCTAAAGCTATGTCAATACTAAGATACTTTGACGGAACGTATTCTGATATTAACCCTATTTTTAATGATCCATCTTTCTCGAATATCCCAATGGTCCTATCGACCGTCCAATCTACTCCGGAATTAGCATCGGGGCTAGACTATTACTTATCCAAGAATGCAAGGATATCTAATACCTCAGCATATAGCGATGTGACACGCTCTGGATTTCTATTTGGTTTCCCTTTAGAGGCAGTCACTCCTGGTGAGAGCGAAGATCAAATGAGGACAAGGATAGAACAATTCATTGTAAATACCATTCAGCCTCGGCTACATGAGTTACGTGATACAACAGCCAAGCCAATGCGGTTGGTGTATATAAGTTTATTGGGATGGGTACATGACACATCGGTCCAGGCTCTCTATGATATGATGTTCGCAATCGGAAGCTTCGTTTTCATTTTCTGTTTCATTTGGGTGCAGACACGATCCCTTTGGGTGACCGGCTGGGCTGTGTTCAGCGTCCTCACCAGCTTTGTATGCACCATTATCGTTTACACAATGGTACTGAGGTTCAGATATGTTGGATACTTTCATATGATTTCGATTTATATTATTCTCGGGATTGGAGCGGATGATTTCTTTGTGTTTGTTAACACATGGCAAGCCACTGGGCTCGAGAATCACTCTAGTTTGGCGCATCGATTATCGGTTTGCTACAAAAGAGCAGCTGGAACTATGTTCTTCACATCACTGACGACCTCAATGGCGTTTTTCTCCAGTGGGTTCTCCCCACTATTAGGCATCAACTCATTTGGGATCTTCGCTGGGACTTTAGTAGCTGTTAACTACGTATCAGTGATTGTATTCTTTCCAACTGTAGTATGCATGCATCATATTTACTTTGAGAAAACGTGTTGTTGTGGGCCATGTATTTGCTCTAACAAGAAGGAAACAAGTTCGGATGAAAAACCAACGAAATCAAGTACTACAAACCTTATTCTTGAGGATAACAAGGAACGGGAGAAAAAAGCTCATCCTGTCGTTCGTTTTTTTGCTGGACCATACTTTAGGTTCATTACGCACCCTGTTATACGGTGGGTTATACTTGCCGTATTTGGGGTCATTATTGCAGTGTTTGCTTATTTCGTATCAACCTTGGAACCAGATTCGGAGATGGTATGGTATTTCAATAGAAAATTATATGCTCTGTTATAATACAATTTCCTCGATCGTTTGCAGTTAATAATTTGAATAGCATCAACGCAGAAAATGTCCTTAAAATTAAGCATGGAGAACGGCTCAAAGGCTTACAAACTGGCTTTAAAAGCTGACTTTGAAACTTTAAAGGCTGGCTTTTGAATTCCAGCCGTTTCAAGGGCAGTAAATATTACTTGAATATAAATATCTCATGTACATTTGTTTCTAGTTTAAAATCTATCGGGTCGAAACCAACTATGGAAGGGCGGATTATCTGGCTAATGACGTCATGCAACCTACCCAAGAGAGCGGAGATTACGTTGATGTTTACTTGGTATGGGGCCTGAAGCAACGTGACGTCAGCGGATGCGCATTCAGCGAGGTTAACTGCGACGGGAAGCAAGTTTGGAATGATGGGTTCGACATGAACACTCCACCAGCTCAACTTGCGATGAATGTAAACTGTTTTTTAATTAATATCCCTAAACATTATATTTATTAAATTGATAACCCCAAAAGCTTATAAAAATGGCGATTTATGAAAACAAAAGGCCTTGAAACTCCTGGTAATGTACCCCTGATAAGGCTTATGTTGGGTATCGTTGCACATCGCATTGTACCAGAATTCAGATCTACGAAAGAAAGGAAATAAGGCTGCTTACATCTCGATGGGTGGGAAAAAATAGCTAAATAGTGTCAGTATCTTACTTGGCCTTATTGTTAATGTATCAGATCAGATTCAACAAACGCATATTGTCCATTTTGATTCCAGAGGCTTTGTGAGGGGCTCATAAACATGAATCAAAGCGATGTAGAAAGACTTCATATACGAATCAACTCAATCACTAACAAGCCAGAGATCTCCTGCTTTATCCTTCCTTTCCAAGAATTCCTCCTGGTAAGTCAGCTATCAAGTGTGTCAAAATTATTTCTGTATCAAAATTATTAATGGCGAAATGAATCTAGTCTTACCTACTTATATGTGAGATGAATATGTTGGCTATGTTTACACAACGTTGCCCTGTATTTCAGATCCAGAAAATATTCATAATAAGGCATCAACATGATAAATGTCACCACCTGCCATTTGTTACAGATGCCGATCGCCAAACGCCGACCGCCGAACACCGTCAACAAAAAGTTGGAGATAATAACAATATGTCACATAAAAATAAACATCTCATTTACATGCCACGCCTAGGTATTTGCATACATATACGTACTCATGATACACTGTTCATTTGTGTATTTCATCTTATTTTTCTATTCCAGAATGAAGAAAAGCTTGTCCCAACTCTAGCCCCAGGACTGCCCCAAGACCTCAGGTTCCCACTGACAGAGAAGAACATGTTGCCATTCATGCTGGCAAATCCTCATCTGTATGATGTACAAGGCTTGGAGAAAGACTTCTATAGATATTATGAGGTATATTTGGTATCACATTTACATCCAAGTTTTAATTACCAGTGTCCAGTATTTACCTTTATCTTACATCTTAAATTCAATAGATCTAAACTTAAAGCATTGTACTACTCTGCCCTTAATATTTTTCAGATTGGTCTGAGCTATTGGATGTCTAACGCCTACCAGCTGAACATCACAAAGGATTACCTTACTTACAATGAGTTGATAGGTGAAGCGAATGACCCACCGCACACAAGACCAATAGCATTCAACATACCGGGTATGACCGATAATAATGGGCTTATTTAATTCACTGAAATATATATCCATACTCACGAAATCTTGATCAAATATACTTTATTTAATGACTTCAAAGAACCCCGGGACTCATCAAGCCTATATATTAGTATTACTATGTTGCCCCTTGTATTTTATGTAGGATTGCCCCAACAGCCCATCTACGGGACAAAGTTGCGCTATGTAGCCATACGAATTAACACAACGATGAGTGCCAGCGGTGTGGGCTACGCTGAGGGTATTCCCATAATGGAGGACTGGGAGAAATACACGCAGACGCAGGTATGGACAATCTCAGTAAAATATTTATCAAATTACAATATTCAATGAAATCTATCATCTCAATTTTAAATTCAGTGTATATAACCCTACTATCACACCAAACTAGTTCTCACTACGTTCTCGAAAACGGGCTTTAACTGTGCACGAACGGATTTGATGTACTACGAACCCACTAAGAACCGTTTGGGATCTGTTTACAAACTTCATGAAACTACTAGAACGAGTAGGTCCTCCAGCACTTAAAGCATGCACAACATTTTCTGGTGATCATCAAAACGTTGCCGAATCGGTTTTAAACTGTGTGCGAACTGAATGAACGTAGCTACAACGTTCTACGGTCTGTTTACGAACTTCATGGACTTTCCCGGACGGGGTATGTGATTTAGAATTTTGAATCGATTCAAAATTCGATGGCGACCATACCGTTCTGTAATCAGGTCATGATGACCTTCTAGACTAAGGGACGGTTTATACTACGTTGCACACCGACGTGGTGCGACCTGAACGAACTGCGAACGTGATGGACGTATTGAAGACTGTTTATGAACGAAGTAGCTAATTATTTTAGACATATATCCCGACCGCAGCCAGATCGAGCCCGTTTTACGACATTTTCGTAGGACTGGCAAGAACGGGTAAGAACTAGTTTGGTGTGATAGGGGGGTAAAGGGCGATCACTAAGTTCTGGGAATTTGTCTGTCATTTCATTATTTTTCAACCAATTCTTTTGAAATGTTCAAGGAGTCTTGATGAAATATCCAAACTTATATTTTGACACTGGTCCATGATCGTTGAATGGCCGCCATTTGTGTCTGATTTTACCGTTGCCGGGTATTCCGGTGTGTAATTTAAATTGTATGTCTTATTACAGATGTCTCAGATGCCTGCTCATCTACGTGATGGATTTCAGACATCCTCTTTCTGGCACTGGTTGCGAATGCAGGAAAGTCTTGTTACAAACGCTCTGACTGGGATTATGATAGGTAGCCTTTATGAACTTGATACAACATAAAAGTAGTCCCGTTTTAATTTTTAAGATTATGCCTAGTGATGAACAAAATATAATTTTGATTGTAATTTAAATGTATTACAGGGTGTCTATAAAGTATCCTTACAACTCCAATACATAATTGGTGCTATGGTATGAAATTGTTGCCCCTTTCCTCTGATTCAATCGTGTTTTCTTTTGGTTTTCCTTGTGTTTTTCATTTGTCCCCTTAATGTTTCATAGGGATTATTTACATTGACTCACGAGGAAGAAGAAACGCTAATGTCAGTTATCCTATATTATTTTAACATTTAGAGTATATTATCTCATTTTAAAAAAGGAACTATATTCTCAAGTTTTATTTTTCACTTATAAGTCGCCCCTCACCTCTTCGTCGCGCACGCATTGTTTCACATTTTGTGGCGTAATCCAGAGGATGCTCGCTTTCAGGCTTTTAACATGATAGAATGTGACGTTTTTGAGAAAAATGTACACACATGAAAATCCTTTCGTCCTCCACATTTACCTCTATATCTCAAAACATTTTAGATGAATAACTCTGATATCATATTAGGTGAAATAAATATACGTGTTGCTGTGCTTGAAAATAGGCGAATGGCGTAAATTAGCCCTATTTTAATGAATTTTGAAAACCTTTCGTCCTCCACTTTTCCACATACAACAGAAAACACATACTTTTGCGAACAAAATCAACTATTTATTAATAAACTTGAGTTTAAGAGCAAAATAATCATGTATGATTTATTAAAAACTGATCTCGTATTTTTTGTTTAATGTACACCTGAAAAGTTGAAGGTAACAAAAAATGAGCAAAAAAGGTCGCTGTCAACAGATTGTATTTTTCAAACTCTATGACGTCACAATATGGGACGCTTACTAAAATTCATCCTTTGAAATAAAACTTCTATCTACCTTAATCAAGATGAAAAATAAGTATAATAGTCATATATTGTTTGAATTATGAGCGTTTAAAGATGAAAAATAATTCAAAATGTAACGTGTCAACAGGGGATATTTGCCAGATGTTTTGGTAAAAAACTCTTTTTTTAAAGAACGCGCAAGAATTGTGAACGGAGTGTAGTTGATCTAAAAACTTCATCGAAACAGCTTTAAAATGATATATAACTTTAATTAGAATATTATCTTATAATCCGGGGAATCAAAGTTACATTCACGCGATACCCTTAAAAAACAAATGCGCTACCTTTTACTTTATGCCAACTTTTATTGTAAACCTTATATTAGGAAGATACACTAGCTAAAAATGTCATCTATTCATGTAAAGTATTTTGTGCGTGTCATTTAAATTCAAACATGCCAAGTGTGTCTCGGTCAATCAGCTCAGAGAATTTCGGTGCCTTATTTTATTGATAAATGCATAAAAATGATTTTGTGCTGTGCATTTGATTTTTGATACATGTACGGCTTGAGCAGGGCTATTCTTAAAATGGGTGACGGCATATCAACAGTGTGTTAATTTCAATCAACACTATGATTTTCTCACCAAGTTTTCACAATTTTACTGCAAAAATCTGCATCAGCTTAATTAGTTTACTTTTCTATGATATCTTTATCAATAAAACCTTTTAAATAGTTTTCAAAGGAATATATATTGTAACTCACCACCCCTATTCAGTATTTCTTAAACATAAACTAGTCCAAAGCATAAACTGCAAGTTTAAAACTAGGTCAACATTGACAAGAATTTCATCACCATGACATCCATTCAACACAAACCACAAACGATGATAAACTTGTGAGACTGACGCACGTTTGATTCAGTGACATATCATACATAATCTCAATAAACGTTTTCATGTTTTACTCCAGCATTGGCCAGGGTCATGTTTGAATTGCAATAAAGAATCCTGCATCATTCTACATTGGAACTAAAAGCATTCGTGCATGTACTACACCATTCTGATAACATAATGCACCTAGGCTTCGCCTTCGTGTATTACATGGATCAGTACATTCTCTCATACTTTCATATTCCCAATATAGAATGATACAGGATTCTTTATTCCTTATAAATAAAACATAAACATAAATCGTGATTACGTTGCAGGTATATCTATTGCATTCCCTATACTTGTCCTGGCCACGATGAACATATTGGTGGGCCTCTGCGCCACTCTCAACCTTGTCTGTATCACAGTGTGTGTTGTGGGCGTTATTCCAATGGCGGGTTGGAAATTAGGGGTAAGTAAGGGATATGATACATCTGGGTCGTAAATATAAAGTTTTAAACCTTTACCATCTGATGACGATTTTGATAGAAGCTTTACGAGTACTTATTGCGAAACGGCAGAGTAAGTGGCATGAAAAGGTTCAAATTAAAAGCCTTTACGGATTTTAAAGAAAGTTTTTTTTAATCAAAGTATGTTAATGATGCTAGTTTTATGTAGATATTGTAGGATAAGAGTCAGAGACTGATGAGCCACTTCCAAGATTCTTTTGTTTACAGGTTCTGGTATCAATGAACCTGTGTTTGGTAGTCGGCCTTTCCGTTGACTATGTAGTACATTTAGCAGAAGCATACCACCTGTCCAAACAAAAGGATCGTTTGGGACGCTTAAAAGACGCTCTTGAGTCCATCGCTATCTCAATACTCTGGGGAGCGTGTACAACATTAGGTGCGGCGGTCTTCATGTGTTTTGGACAGATCCACTTTTTTCTACAATTTGGAATATTCATGTTCAGTACAATTGGATTTTCACTGATATTTTCACTTGGATTTTTTGCAACATTCCTTGGTATATTTGGTCCCGAGAATGACACTGGATCTTTGATACCCGTTGGACAGGCGTTCAGGAATTGGGCGTCTGGACGTAAGGAATCTGATATTGAATGGACAGAATACAAAAGAGCTGTTTCTGCCAAAGACCCTAAAGCTGACTACGACGTAGACAATACGCATATGTGAGAATGTACCAAGATGACAATAAAATAGAGCTATATATCTAGTCGTGATTCATGCCACGTATTAGATCAAGATAGGGTAATTTTGAGAGTAAATGAAATAATCCATGTCATCCGAGTGAAACATATTCGAGTCTATCTTTCTCTAAATTACACACTATCTGTGTCTGCTAAATGACTCAGGTCGATCAATTTGAGTATATGAAAGTTATTGATGGTGTAAACAGGGGTCTATTTTAATGGTACCTAAAAAGGTACGATATTGTCGTCAGCTTGACTCGGGGAGCGGGCGGGCGGCGTCTCACTTTTCAGCTTTTTGTTTCCAGCCAAACCGTTTGATGGATTCATGTGAAATATTCAGAGATGTTTCTACATATGAAAGTTTAAAACTGATTAGATGTTGGACAATCTGGGTAAATGAAAGGCAGCCACTTTGAATTTTCTATCCTAAAATCTTGTCTGTTGAGGCTTGTCTAAGGGTTTCCAGCCAAACCGTTCGAGGGATTCATCTGAAATTTCAGGGGGGTATATCTACGTAAGAAAGTTTAGAACTGATTAGTTTTTGGGCATTCTGATTAAATGTTAAGGCGGCCATTTTCCGTCGTAAAATCTTGTTCGTCGAGGCTAGTCTAGAGCTAGAAGTTCTAGAGCTGATTAACTTTTCGATGGCCATCTTGCTTTCTGGCGGCCATTTTGGACGTTTTTAGATATATCTTGTCATCGCGATTCCAGAAAAAACACTTAGCGGAATTACTTCAAATTTTTACACATGTTATACAGTGTTATATGGTAAGAAGTTCTAGAGCTGGTTAAATTTTTCTGCGGCCATCTTGCTTTCTTGGTCTTTCTTGGTCACTGATGTGTTTTAGGTACGATATTGTTCACCATGTGCCTTGCTTATTTTCATTTTAATTTTGATATTTTTTTTTGTTTCATAGAAATCTGCCCTGTGGATTCACTTTTAATTTTAAGAAATGCAGTATCATGCGAATATATATGTTCCTGGAAAATGTTTAGACACACCAAGAGAGTTGTACATGTAAAGAAAATCATCAAAAAGACAGAAATATCCGATATATTGTAAGCCTTGCCCAAGTCGATATTATCTTTTATTTATTATGCCACCACCAAAAAGTATGTATCATTTTTAAATGTGGTCACGTGGTAGGGTAGTGTCACTAGTGTGACTGTTCACCAATGAAATGAAAGAGAGATTATTGAGAGTATGTGCATGATTTTATTTTTGCAGACGAACTTTGAAAAATTCTTTAAATGAATGTATTATGCCATAGTTAACGGTTAAATGTTTTATACAGTTACACATTGACTGCATATTTCATGTAATGATTGAATGTTCAGTTTCATTCAGATTCGTTCAGTTTTCTGGCCATTGTCCTTCTCGAACTGTATTAATCACAACGATTGTGCTAGCCACGCGTAAAACTAATTAGTACTGGACGTAATCCGATTAATCATTCCAATGCGCCGAAATCATGAAAATAGCTTATTTTCCCTTTCCATTACCGATCTGGACATATCATTTTTAGTTGTTTTCACTCATGTATGCTTACTACAGTAGCCTATTGCCCCTTTTCATTTCTTTGAGAACCAAACGAAATTCCTGATGGATCTTAAATATTATGCCATGTACTTTCTGTAAAACCTTGTGACTACTGTTATTATTTGCACGAGCTCATTTTTGAGTTCATTCCGTTTCCTCGATCAAAAATATAATCTTCGACTCCAACTAAAGTTGACTTTCAAATAGGGTTAATTAATTAAGATACATCTACATTATGTTAACTCAAGCAAATAATTATAACAACTACATTATTTTTTAGCACTACTGATATCCAAGCGATGTAGCCTCATGGCGTAGAGACTAGAGATCAATTGTGGTCGAACGTAGGGGATACGGAGGTCCCCCGTTCGAGCCGCAGGTACGGAGTATTTTTGATTATTACACTACAAGACACCCAGTATAAATATTTCATTTTTGAGCAATGTTGACACCTGAGCAGTGTAGCCTAGGTGGTTAGTGACTGTGGTCGTGCGTACCGAGGGATACAAGGTCCCGCGTTCGAGCCCCAGGTACGGCGTTCTTGATAATAGTTCTACAGGGCACTCGGTCCGAAGGTCCAACCGTTTACCGGCCCTTGGCATGGGTTGGTTCTCTGACTGCTCTTGTCGGAGACAGATTGTGAGACTGTGGTTGGTTCCTCCACTTATGGACTATAGGAGACGCCGGGAGTCATACAGTATGGTAGCGGGCCCCCACCAAGGGCAGTAGTGGAACGACGCGAATCGGTCCCAGTATGGTTGCCTTGCAACTGAAGCGACTCGAGGAAATCATGCCATTCGCAGTGACCCAGAAAAGACTTTTGCTTCTTGATTTAATAATTAATTTTATTATATCAATTAAAAGTAAAATAATTTCAACCTTGGGCACTTATCATTTATAGTGAAATTCGTTTAAAACAAGTAAGATAAAAGCCCTTACGTTCAAGCAATGGAGGTCCGATCTAGAATTAAGCCCATTAAGTCTTTTCTTTATCCAAGGACCAATTTGCCAAATTGTTCATCTTCGTTGGTCAAGAAGCACCCGTCGGTCGAAGTAAAGACCGAACGCTTGAAGAGGACTACAAAGATGGAAATTCACAGGATGGTATATATTCAGACGATATTGCAAAAGACGACAATGCTTTTTATTTGACAAATGAATGAAGGAGACATCTATATTTGATCCAATATTCTTTATTTTCCATACAAACATTGCACTTGCCACGACATCGATGAAATAATATTCAAAACACATACACGTATGAGTCAAATATAATGTTCTATATATTATTTTTTTCTGAAGATACTACTTTTTTGTTACATCTACTTATTGGTTCACCGTGCATAACTTATACAGGGCGTATAAAAAACGCAACAAGAAGTTATCTCGTAAAATTACAAAACTAGTGATGACTACATCAATTTCATTCAATGTACTATAAAGCCACGCCCCTCCTCTTTGCAATCATAGTCATTCATTCACATATGTTGTCATGGTTTGGTGAGAAATCCTTCCATTTACACAGTGGGTCAAAATCGGCTCTGTACCAAGTTTCAGAAATTGCAAAAATCAGTGCAAGAGCTAAGTGCCAATTGAAGTTCTCCTGACTTTATTTGTTGTGACTTTTTCTTTTGGAGCTATCTCAGGAGCATCTGTGCTCACCATTCCTTCACTAGATATTGCAAAACTTCAAGAAAGAATTGCCAAGGGGCTGCTTTTCTCCGCATTAATCCACAGTTGACTCGGAGCTGAGCCTAGAATGGCATGGAGATATGAGGGCATCTTTGTGTGCTAAGAAGTGGTGGCCATTTAGAGGGTATGGGATGTATTCTTGCAAGAGTATGAGTATAAACACTACGGTCTATGTCACACATCCCATATCTTCTTCCAATATCCTCTATGCCCCATGCTCTGACTTTTGCAATGTTTAAAACTTGGGTCTGAACTGAATTTTACCCCACAAAATAATGATTATTCAGACAACCATGACTCCCTGTGAATGAATGACATTCCATTGTAAAGAGGAGTAATTTGGGTTTTTGGTACATTGAATGAAAAGGACGCAGTAATCATTGATTTTATGTTTTCTTCCAATATTGCATTGGGGCCCGTGCACTGACTTTTGCGATGTCTATAACTTGGCCCCAAGGTAATTTTGGCCCACTTTGCTTAAGGAATGATTACTCACCCAACCATGACCCAATATCAACGAATGATATACCATTAGAAAGAGGAGACACATGGCTTTATGGTACATGAAATGAAATCAATGCTGTTACCACTAGTTTTGTGCTTTTCCGAGATAACAATCTGTTGTGTTTTTTTTGATATGCACTGTATATGTCAATAATAATATTACATGGTGTCCATAAAATCCCTCTACCTTTTTCATATACGTTGTATTGGAGTTGTAAGGAGACTTTATAGACACCCTGTAATACATTTAAATTACAATCAAAATTACATTTTTCTTCTATTGAAATGGGGACGTCAATTAATTTAGGCATGTTTGAAGAATTAATCTCCAATGTCTTCAACCTGTATACAGCAACAGCACCATCTTTGGACAGAATACTCTAATTTGCAGACATACATTGTAGTGTACATATAATGGGAGACATGTGATCATAACAGAGAACGGTAAAATATTTGGGATTATTTTTTGCGCATGAATTGTGCTTGGTAGTGGTGAATTGAGCACAAGTTTTGATTTTCGTGGGATATTTTTGATAATTTTTTTCTTTTTCAAGAGGAGTTTTGCTTTATTACACAGAAATTCTTTGAAAAACGATGGACTGAGATTTGAGAAATTCTAATTTGAACTTTGTCAATTAAACGTTAAACAAAGTTCAGTTATCTGCATGATAAATAATGTACACAAAAAATTAACATGGAACGAAAGATGAGTTCTACCCTCCTTGGTAGAAGTGAGTAGGTCCCATAATAACTTGCCATTTTTGCCATTCATTAATAATGAAACAGCATTATGCACAGTCATCAGTCAATACGCTAGAATGTAGTTTCTCAATAACTGAATGGATTACATGTTCCAAGATTTCATTAAATGTCTTGGATCTACGCAATCATTGTCTCTATTCCACCATTGGTCAATGTGTTCATACACTTTGGCTGTTGTATCTGCATGTAGTTTCTCAATAAGTAAATGGATTAAATATCCCAAGATTTCATTAAATGTCTAGGATCAACACAATCATTCGATTGTCTCTATTCCACCATTGGTCTATGCGTTCATACACTTTGGGTGTTGTATCTGCATGTAGTTTCTCAATAAGTAAATGGATTAAATATTCCAAGATTTCATTAAATGTCTTGGATCTACGCAATCATTGTCTCTATTCCACCATTGGTCTATGCGTTCATACACTTTGGGTGTTGTATCTGCATGTAGTTTCTCAATAAGTAAATGGATTAAATATTCCAAGATTTCATTTTATGTCTAGGATCTACGCAATTATTGTCTCTATTCCACCATTGGTCTATGCGTTCATACACTTTGGGTGTTGTATCTGCATGTAGTTTCTCAATAAGTAAATGGATTAAATATTCCAAGATTTCATTAAATGTCTTGGATCTACGCAATCATTGTCTCTATTCCACCATTGGTCTATGTGTTCATACACTTTGGCTGTTGTATCTGCATGTAGTTTCTCAATAAGTAAATGGATTAAATATTCCAAGATTTCATAATATGTCTTGGATCTACACAATCATTGTTTCTATTCCACCATTGGTCTATGTGTTCATACACTTTGGGCGTTGTGTCTGTATGCAGTTTCTCACAGAGATCACACCATGAGAGATGATCACTATCCCTGTTACCGAACGCAGTATAGTTCTTCTTCCAAGCAAAATATTCTTCATATCTCGCGTCATCTTTGTCTAAATCAGTAAGGAATTTCGCTAGCTCTTTCGCACTATTAAACTTGGTGACGTCGATGTAGGAATGTGGTGGGAGAAGTTCAGAATAGTCGATATCACCGTAGACAATTGGAACCATGCCGTATGCCATAGTGTTGAAGAGTTTTTCCGTGACATAATCTTTACACAGAGAGTTCTCAACTGCAAGGTGAAACTTATACTTGTTACCTAGCATCGTAAAGCAATCATACTGCGGGTCGTGTGCAGTTGAGTTTATTTCACATGTTAATTTCTTATGTGAACATTTGCCATATTTGTCAACTGAAATGAATTTCTCTAACTGTTTCACGAGCGTCTCACGTTTTGCTTGCGTATAACAATTGCTAACCATCCATGCTAAAAGCTTAGTCTTCTTAGTAACATTTAGACTCATAGCATTAGAGCCATGGTGGTAATACATGTCTTCAGTATCAGAAGTTGGCAAGACAGCACCATATCTTATATGGATGTCAGAATCTCTTCGATAAGTCATCGTCCAGTTGAACAGGCCATTCCAGTTTTTATATTCTAGATTATGTAGATTGTTTGGGCTTTCCATTTGGAAAAACACCCAACGTTGGTGTGGGAGTCTGATTTTTGGTTTATCACGCCCTAGCGCTGTTGTATGAAATAAAACAGCGTCGCTAGACTCTAGAAGATTACGATCATGTGTAACACTACACTGATTGTAAGAACACTTTTTGGTTTTGAAAGGTTCAGACCCTACCCCGAATCCCCATCCTTTCATTTCGAAGAATGAATTATAGAGTAAAATAGTTTTCCTCCTTGCATATGTGCTATTGTTTTCTAGTTTATCGTTTCGGATGACATCCTTCTCAGGATCGAAACTATTTTTCCAGATTTTCCTTCGTGTGTTAGTCAAGTGCCGATGTGTTTTGATAACTTTATTTCGACTTTTTATGTTCAATAGAGTCAATATTACAACAATGATAAATATAAGGGCTATCATCCCGTATTTTCGAAACGTTCTCATTTTCCACGAGGTTATTTCTAGGACTCCGTGTTATACATTCACAAATCGGATCTATAATGTTTGTTATCATTTTATCTTCGAAATTGGGCAGTTTCATATTTGTGGTACAATTATGCCTCTGGTTGTTTCCAATAAAAATCATTATTACACATTTTTTATAATCAAGGATACCTTAATTTAATTTAGAATTATTGAAAACGTTATCAGTATGGCCTTAGGGCATTGTCTGCGTTCAATATGACTGGTTGCTTATATAAGTATGTATATTAAAATGGCAAATAGATCCACCGCCAGTATATTGCTTAGAATTAATACGTGTATAGACAATCAAACTAAACATGATATCAAATGTAAAAAGTGTTTTAGTTCAACGGAAATCAAAGTCTTTAGTTTTCTCTTCATTAGTTGTATTCGTTATGTTTATTGCTGTCAGATTACACATTAAGTGCAGTAATATTCAAGCGACCGGAACATTAAGCACTGGAGCTTTAAAGAACCACGGAGCACACCCCTCAACGTCAAAATATAATTCGAGTGATCAGAATGGGCGAAAAGTTAAACCGATTGACTGCAAAGACTTAAGACATGGTCTTGGTAAGTACAAGCTTTTGAAAAATGATCAGTAACTCCATTACAAGCGTTAGAAAAATCTGTATATTCGATTTGAGAGGAAATGGATTCGATACAGATCTCATCTAAAATCTCTTAAGGAATTTGGTCTGAAAAATATTGTTTAATTTCAAAAACTTAAGCAAAAAATAGGCTTAATTAGAAAGTAAGTATTTTTACATAATACAGTGTGGCATTTCTCTAAAGTAAATAGTTTTACATGATAGTGTGACCTTTCTCTTACCTTTTGCATTCGTTTGACTTCACTTCTTAAAAGAGAGCTTCGTGTAGTTTAACTAGACTCTGCACGCAGGGTACCTTTCTCTGTAAGGATTAATAGCGCTCAATTGCAAGTTAAACCGAGATCGCAAAAGACAAAGCCCAGATATACACCAATGGGGCAAAACCCATCGAATCCCAACTTGTACCATCGAATCCCATGCCACGTGAGCCCATTAACTTTGCCTCATAGAGTTCCATCGAGTCCCACGCGTACGGAAATGATGTCACTAAGCTTATATTCGCGAATGCAACTAACGGCTACCGGCTACCGGATTTACCTACTATTTTATGACTAACTCATTTAAATATGAAAGGAATAGTGGCAGGTACTATTCATATTAACGACAGCCGACAGCCGTTAGTTGCATTCGCGAATACAAGCTAAGTTTAGATGGTTTTGCCGCGGCCATTTTAATCCCAAGTCTAGCGATACGTCACATGATCAAAAGTCCCACGATGCCACTTTGAAAGAATGAACATGTTTGTTCTCGATGAAGCTTCGTAGGACTTTGCCCCATTGAGTCCCACGTGTGGGACCTCATGGGACCCCATTGGGCAAAGTCCTACGGAGTGTCATGGAGTCCCACAGAGTCCATGGGGCAAAATTCAATGAAGTCCTATGAGGTCCCACACACAGTCTACGGAGGTCCCATCGTGCCCCATTGGTGTATGTCATAGGTGTGATAGGTGTCTCCTTAAACATTTTGCACAATTTCTATGTATCATTTGCAGTTGGTGAACTAAAAATGGCAAAGCATAATGCAACAAACCATACTCTACATACAGAGCCAGCTCCAGAGGCGCTACCAACATATACTACGGACAAAAGGGGGCGCTGGTTTCCACTCTCGTGTCAGCCAAAGCAGAAAACGGTCATAGTTATTCCATTTCGGGACCGATACGAACATCTTAAAATTTTTATTGAACATTTTGTTCCTATTCTACAAAGGCAATTATTAGATTACATAATCGTAGTGGTAGAACAGGTACTGTACGTTGACACATTGCGTTTCTACATGTATTACTTTAGTAGGAACGGAGGCTCCCTCCCTCCCTCCCTCCCTCCCTCCCTTCATGCACCCGAAAGATGTAAATTTTCTGTTAGACTTTTTAATATCGACAGAATGTCAGTAGTATATGGCGGGCCTTTCGACCCCCTACCTGCACCTGCACTATTCCACTTCCACTTCCACCGGAAGTGACGTCATAGGTCACGTGTTCACTTCCACTTCCACCGGAAGTGACGTCATAGGTCACGTGTTCCACGTTCCACGGAAAGTGATGTCAAAGGTCACGTGGTGGTGCACTGGGAGTGACATAACTGGCTCAAAGGTTACTCATAATTGATAAGAGAGTGGTTAAGTGATGATTAGCTATCTGTCTACTTCGTGGATGTTTCATTGTTATAGGTCAAAGGTTGATAACGAACTGATAAAACTGTGAAAAAGATAAATGCAGAACAATTTCGACCAATCACATGACTGGAATATACCAATTTGACCAATTATATTTGACACATACTTTATATGTTGCATAAGCTGTAGAAAATCATGCCACTTTATATCACTGGTCAAAGGTTATGTGATAAGCTATCTATCCACTTCATGGATGTTTCATTGATATAGGTCAAAGGTTGATAACAAACTGATGAAACAGTAAATAAGATAACTGCAGAACCATTTCAACCAAACAGGTTTTAACTTGCAGAATTATTTTAACCAATCAAAAGTATAGTATATTTTAACCAATCAGGTTTCGAGATGCAGAATCATTTTAACCAATCAGGTTTAGATTATTTTAACCAATCAAATTATGACTTACAGAATTATTTTAACCAATCAGAGTACAGTATGGTAGAAATTTAACCAATAAGAGATAAGTTCCACCAGTAAACCAGTTTAAACATTCTGGTATTATGCAACACAAATATTTACTGAGAGATTGACATTGCTAAGGTTCGGTCAAAGGTTACTGATAATTGATTAAGAGAGAAGTCTACTGATAAGATAACCAAACCAACACTGTTAAGATAACTTGGTGTCTAAGTTATTCAAGCTCTTAAGTAATCTGTAGAACAAACCTTTGACATATGATATCACTGGTTAATGATAACTGATAAGAGAAAAGTAGAGAGTGTAAGTGTACATCATTAATATTATTGAGAACAACAACACAATAAATATATTAAAATAAACATTTAGAAGGTTGATCTGGGGATCAAACCCAGGACCTTTTGCTCCTAAAACAAGCATCATACCACTAGAACAATCAACCATAGATATGGAGAGAATATTTTAATATACTTCATGGCAATCATAAAAAGTATAGCATGTTTTGAATCAGATATTATGTTATGGTCAGGAAAACAATAACTGCAGAACTATTTTAAACAATCGGGGTACAGTATGTTTTCATCCAGTCAGATATAAGAAAATCACCCAGTAGGAGAATTTTTGCAACATTACAAGTTCCGGCTGGTATTGAAGTTTTATAACCAACAAGCCTCCTGAGTCATTTTAGAATAATTTTTAAAGTGTCACGCTTGAACGATTTCAGTCACTGTTGGTCAATTTCTGGTAATTTTTGGAGTTTGAATCTTTTGTTGTTCGATGTATGTAAATAATTCCTCTCAGTTGAATTTGCAAACAGAACCTAGGTCATTGCTACATGCTGCTACAAAGGTAGATTAACCAGTTATTTTGGACAGCGACCAAGTGTGAAGCGAAAACTGGCAGCTAACTGGAAGCCCAGCGGGTACTATTTATGTTTACATGAGTTTTCCCTCCAATTGTAATCAACCCCTCAAATGTCCAAAAACCATGTAAGTGTACTTTTTTAGAATCTTTTTTGGAATATTTTCGACCAATCAAAGTGTATATGCAAATGAGCTGCAGAACCATTTCAATCAATCAGATCAGATTATTGCACTCTTTGACCCCGCCGCCGCCACCGCCGCCGCCACCACCGCCGCCACCGCCGCCGCCACCACCACCGCCGCCACCGCCACCGCCAACGCCACCACCGCCGCCACCGCCATCTTAACTTTTTACCGGGTTCGATTGCAATTTGATAGAAAACTTATTTAAATATGAATATCACCTGCCATTAAAGGCACAACGGGTGGCGGCGGTGGCGGCGGCGGCGGTGGTGGCGGCGGCGGTGGTGGTGGCGGCGGCGGTGGCGGCGGTGGTGGCGGCGGCGGCGGTGGCGGCGGCGGTGGCGGCGGCGGGGTCAAAGAGTGCAATAATCTGATCTGATTGATTGAAATGGTTCTGCAGCTCATTTGCATATACACTTTGATTGGTCGAAAATATTCCAAAAAAGATTCTAAAAAAGTACACTTACATGGTTTTTGGACATTTGAGGGGTTGATTACAATTGGAGGGAAAACTCATGTAAACATAAATAGTACCCGCTGGGCTTCCAGTTAGCTGCCAGTTTTCGCTTCACACATGGTCGCTGTCCAAAATAACTGGTTAATCTACCTTTGTAGCAGCATGTAGCAATGACCTAGGTTCTGTTTGCAAATTCAACTGAGAGGAATTATTTACATACATCGAACAACAAAAGATTCAAACTCCAAAAATTACCAGAAATTGACCAACAGTGACTGAAATCGTTCAAGCGTGACACTTTAAAAATTATTCTAAAATGACTCAGGAGGCTTGTTGGTTATAAAACTTCAATACCAGCCGGAACTTGTAATGTTGCAAAAATTCTCCTACTGGGTGATTTTCTTATATCTGACTGGATGAAAACATACTGTACCCCGATTGTTTAAAATAGTTCTGCAGTTATTGTTTTCCTGACCATAACATAATATCTGATTCAAAACATGCTATACTTTTTATGATTGCCATGAAGTATATTAAAATATTCTCTCCATATCTATGGTTGATTGTTCTAGTGGTATGATGCTTGTTTTAGGAGCAAAAGGTCCTGGGTTTGATCCCCAGATCAACCTTCTAAATGTTTATTTTAATATATTTATTGTGTTGTTGTTCTCAATAATATTAATGATGTACACTTACACTCTCTACTTTTCTCTTATCAGTTATCATTAACCAGTGATATCATATGTCAAAGGTTTGTTCTACAGATTACTTAAGAGCTTGAATAACTTAGACACCAAGTTATCTTAACAGTGTTGGTTTGGTTATCTTATCAGTAGACTTCTCTCTTAATCAATTATCAGTAACCTTTGACCGAACCTTAGCAATGTCAATCTCTCAGTAAATATTTGTGTTGCATAATACCAGAATGTTTAAACTGGTTTACTGGTGGAACTTATCTCTTATTGGTTAAATTTCTACCATACTGTACTCTGATTGGTTAAAATAATTCTGTAAGTCATAATTTGATTGGTTAAAATAATCTAAACCTGATTGGTTAAAATGATTCTGCATCTCGAAACCTGATTGGTTAAAATATACTATACTTTTGATTGGTTAAAATAATTCTGCAAGTTAAAACCTGTTTGGTTGAAATGGTTCTGCAGTTATCTTATTTACTGTTTCATCAGTTTGTTATCAACCTTTGACCTATATCAATGAAACATCCATGAAGTGGATAGATAGCTTATCACATAACCTTTGACCAGTGATATAAAGTGGCATGATTTTTCTACAGCTTATGCAACATATAAAGTATGTGTCAAATATAATTGGTCAAATTGGTATATTCCAGTCATGTGATTGGTCGAAATTGTTCTGCATTTATCTTTTTCACAGTTTTATCAGTTCGTTATCAACCTTTGACCTATAACAATGAAACATCCACGAAGTAGACAGATAGCTAATCATCACTTAACCACTCTCTTATCAATTATGAGTAACCTTTGAGCCAGTTATGTCACTCCCAGTGCACCACCACGTGACCTTTGACATCACTTTCCGTGGAACGTGGAACACGTGACCTATGACGTCACTTCCGGTGGAAGTGGAAGTGAACACGTGACCTATGACGTCACTTCTTGTGGAAGTGGAAGTGGAATAGTGCAGGTGCAGGTAGGGGGTCGAAAGGCCCGCCATATACTACTAATGTCTACTTAAAGAATTTTGACGTTAACATTGCTATCTCTGGCCGAAATTTCTTATTTGAAGGGTAACATACCCCCTCCCCCCAGGGCGCACCCTTGTTAATAAATGTTATTTCTATGTTTGTCATATAAAGAAATAAAAATATCAATGATACTGAAGAAATATACGCCCATGCGTCTTGGGGGGGGGGGGGTGGTATGTAACCCCTCAAATAAAAATTTGGGCAACGTTAACATCAAAATTCTTTAAGTAGACGGGTGCATAGGGAGCCTCCGTTCCTACTAAAGTATATGTATTGATTGTTCACTCGTCATCCTTCTTATTTGCCGACTCACTCACTCGCATGTAAAACCCTTTACAGAGAAAATATCTTATGTATACATCATACTCGGGACAAAACTATGTTTTGATATATCAAATATTAAACATGTAATAAGATTCGTACATTTTCTAGACACCTATTATCAGCTTCTAGCCAATCGACATGTAGTATGGTACCTTCTTTTTAAGATGGTTTATGTTAAAACTGCAAAAAGGAAAATACATGACATTTTTTGAAAAATATCATCAATCTAGACGCTCATGTATACATTTGTATGTGGAAATGTAAGGAGAATAGCTATAGAGGGTGCTAATAGAGGGGTGGCTAGATGTTATATTTATCCTTGCTTTTCTGTTACCATTTTTGGTATATTCTCATTGGCACTTGCGCATACATATTTAACCATATTATTAAGTGCATTTATGTTACAGGATTTTACCCAAAACTTCAACAGAGGTTTCCTATTCAACGTTGGATACAAAGAAGCGCTTTTGTTGACAAAGGATAACCCAGCTCCTCTATGTATGATACAACATGACGTCGACTTACTCTTGGAAAATGATCGGATGATCTATGAGTGTTCAAAAAATCCAACTCATTTTTCTGTTAGTTTGGACAAATTTAAGTACAGGTTGGCATATTATGTATTCTCCCATTTATCATTGGAGGTTTGTCAATCTCTTGTTCTGACTCTCGTTCTGTCGATTTCATGGTACATATCCGTGTTTTATTGTAGATTGTCGAATTTCATTGTAGATTGCCGTATTTATTGTAGATTGGGGAATTTCATTGTAGATTGCCGTATTTTATTGTGGATTGCCGTATTTTATTGTAGATTGCCGTATTTTATTGTAGGTTGCTGTATTCATCGTCCTTCGGAGGTGTAACTGCAGTGCTAGGGGAGCAGTTCGAAAGGTCCAACGGCTATAGTAATGTTTTCTTCTTTTGGGGTGGTGAGGATGACGACTTCAGAAATAGGTACGTATATAGGGGTTATGCACTGGGAGGTTTTGAATACAGGGAATATCCCGAGGGATATACAATATATCTTCCCGAGGGACTGAAGGGACCGAGGGAAGATGTATTGTATATCCCAAGGGATATTCCATGTATCCAAACCGACCGTGCATAACTGGTGTATCTCATACTTGAGTGGGTTTAGGGTAGATATAACCCTTTCCACCTTTTTCAAATGACAAGATATTTATATTTAACATTTTCGTAATATTCTTTTTGTTCAATACAATGAAATTGTAACATTTAAACTTTAAAAAAAATGTAATTTTAAAATTAAAAAATTAAAACTTTTGATATTTAAACTTTTTTAAACTTTTGAAAAATTCCCGGGAGCGGGATGGATATATTATATCTGCCCGCATTTGGCCTGGAGCGGGACATATACAATATATCCTGCTCGCTCCTCAGATACGATATATATTCCCGGGTGATATCTACCCCAAACCCACTCAAGTATGAGATACAGTCTATTAAAAAATAGCGCATGGTAGATATGCAAAATCATACCATTATGTGGCACCTAATACTCCTGTTTGGGGGTCATAACCACTACAGCCTGTTAATATGTTGCATTTCAATAAAAAAATCAAAACATATGAGGCTAAAATTTGAATGATATTTGTTTTCAATTTTTTATAACAATCAATATTTATGACATTTAATACAAACAACTACATGATGTAACTAACAGATTGCTTCGTTTCAGATTACATGTTACTGGATATCGTACTATACAATACAAAAATGCTTCAATTGCTCGTTATTCTATGCTGAAACATCAGAGTGCAGAAGTTATCAAAGCTAGGTTTGTATTTAAATGTATATCTTTAAAGGCCCCATGTAAAGTTTAAACCACTTTGGCTTATATTGTAGTCTATCCCAATGTTATCAAAGTGTGATAATGTGAAACTTTTTTTTTAAATTTCAAAAAGTGGTTTTTGATAGACTTTTTGTTCCAAAATTTGTGAATTTATCTAAAACCAACTTTTAGAGATCACTCATATCTTCTAATTAGCCACAATTCATACCAATGCATAGCGTTCATCCTCCCATGTTTTTGCCGAAAAAATTAAGAAAATCGGTTGATAAACAAGCGAGAAATGAACTTATCAGTGCATGAAAATGGTTCTGAGAAAAATGCATTTCAAAATTTTAGTTCTCATAGAAACCAATGGTACAATGATATCTAAAACACAATTTATTCTTCCTTTTAACCTGGTTAGACAATCAACATTGTTTTTTTATGAAAGTCTAGCATATTTAGAAAAGATTGACATCGAAAAAAAAATTTCAATTTTTTCAAAAAGTTTTGGTTACCTTAGTGACATCACTAATGTTTCAAAATATTTTTGATATGCTAAAACATTGAAGTGGCCCATTAAATATGGCATTTTATTATTGAACTAGTGTGTCCTTTGTTCAATCTTTGCATTGGTGTTAAAAATATAATCTTTTTTGAAATGCATTAAGAAATATTTGATGATTAAGAAATTTCAATATTTGAGAAATGAAATGCTCACAACTTTTTTTTCAAAATTTTTTTTTTGTTCAAAAATCTCTAAAATCACTTTTTAAGTCCTGACAAATAGAAAATGAATGATAAGAAAATATTTTCAAACTTTAGACGGGGACTTTAAGCCTTGTTATAATTTAAAGGCATTGTACCGTGCAAAGTTTGAAATATTGATTATTCATCCATATATCATATTCATATTCATTTGAAAAAAATTAACTAAAAAATGAATTATCAACCCTAAATTAGTAGTTTCAAAGCCTTTTGTTTTTATTTATTTTAAATATGACATTGCGTATGATTCCATTTTAGGCTCGATGCTCTGATATTTGGAAATAAAATATACCATTGTGATGGACTTAATTCCCTGGACTATACAGTGAAAAGCAGAACGTTTGAGAAACATTATGTTCTTATTAAAATCAACGTACCTTCCGTTCTCAAAACGTCAAGTATTTGTCGGAACTGTATATCGAAACACTTAAAGACAAATGACACATATTTGCCCAAAGTTTGCCGATAGAAAACATTAAGATGTAAGAAAAGTTGTTTTAGAAACACTTGAGATGACATTAGGAACAAAATCACCACGACAAATAGACATCCAAAAATAAATAAACTGTAGAACTTTTGTAACCCATAACAAGTATACGACTGCGACTCGGAAGAAAACCCGATGGGCGGTTTTGTTGTCATGGCGATAGAAAGAGTTATCAAGAAAAGAGGCCGGACGACCAAAAAGCCAACATTCCTTGGTGTATTTGTTCCCGAGAATGACACTAAGCCTTTGATTCCCTCAGAATGGGCATTCAGGGTTTCGGGAATAGGATTTCCGGACGTAATAGAGCGGGCCCACCGTTCGTCACCGTGAGAATGCTTTGGGGCACACCGTGGGCATGGGTACACGGTGGAGAAACAAATAATTTTACAGCAAGATATCACCAATCACATCATATGCAAAAGTTAATTAACCAACTAAAATATTAATGCCCAAAAGTAGCTCGGGAAAATTGGCCACACGGTGGCGAACGGTGAGCCCATGTTACAGGTACAAAGGAAGAGATCGAGTTTTAAATGGACAAAATGTTAAAAAGCTGGTTCCGTGAAGGAACCCAGAACTGACTCCAACAGTACAGTACGTACATATGGAAATGGACAATAAAAGGACCAGGTACAATACAAGCCACATTTTCTAATTTTATTATAACATTCCGTTCCGTATCTAGGGTGAAACATATTCGAGTCTATAATGTCTTCTTTCTCCACATTGCACTGTATTCTCAGTGTCTACTAAGTAACTCCGATAAATCTCACATTCCCCTGTTTTGGGTGTATACTCATAAGCCACATATCTCTCTCTTGATATTGTCTTCTTAGCTGACATTGAGATACAGAACTCCTCACATTTCTCTCGAGACAATACATCTGATGCCACAATGGAATAGCGCGTCATGTCGTCGATACACATGCGACTGTCATCAAATACGAATTTAGATGCTGAAAGGAACATAATATTAATGTAGGAAAATACGTAAACTTCATTCTAAGTAGTCTTGTTTCAGGACCCTGGAGTCGACTACATCTACTGTAACAACCGTGTTGTTTAGCGGTTGTTTAGATAGCTAGGGAGCCAGGTCTTGAAGCAAGACTACATTCTACATAAACATTGGTATATAAATGTATAAGTTCCACCTTGGTTTAGTATTCCCAGGTTCCACATATATACATAATACAAGGCATTAACATGCAAAATGTCACCACCTACCATTTGTTACAGACGCCGAGCCAAACACTAACCACCTTACGCCAACCGCCGTTCACAAAAAGTTGTCGACTTATAACAAAATGTCACCACTTCTGATAGTCATGACACAATAAATCACAATTAAAGAATGATGAGAAGATCTATTATTAAGTTACTATACTCACTTTTGCCAGACTGCATCAATAGATCACACCACAGAGCCTGAAAAATTACCACTTTTCATTCATAAAATTGCTTCTTCGTGATATCATTTTAGAGCATCATTAAATGGTAGAGATGCCACAGAGCTTTAGAATACAACATTCTGAGATTTAACCCTAATGCAAGCTTAATGCCCCTTTTTATTATTCTCGGAATGGGCAATGCGTCATTCATGTACTTTTGAGCCAACCTGTTGGCTCTGCTTGACACATAATTTCTCTATCACTTTATTTTTATGTTTTCCAAAACAACAACTTTTTATCACATAAGTTAATCTTATCTGTATATTATATTTTATATGTAAACTATATTTATACAAAAATGTATTCTCTCATAAATGAGGCAATAAATATACAATACAATACAATTTACCACCTCTCCAATAGTCAATGGACTATGAAAATACATGATAACCTTGGTAAAAACTTGATCAGAGGGACTTAGGGGTCCGCTAGGAATTAATGCTGAAAGAAACATTTGAGTTTTTGCGATGTCATACTTTGCAGGCGGCTTTGTTTGTAAAGAAAACTGATCATAAGCAACATGATAACCAAACGAGTACCCTAAAACTGTAAGAATCCTAACCGATAGATGGCATTTTACTGGGTTGGTAATTGGTCCTAAATCTACTTCCAACTTCACGAGTACTGGCTTTGCGCCATTCATTCTAACATTATTAACTCACGAGGGGAAAGAGTAACCATGTATATACAACCTACCGCCGAGCAAAGACCCGAAGATGTCTGAAAATGTAAGAACCATGGCTGAATTTACTCCATTTGATTCAAAGATACAAGATTCAAGATTCAAGATTTTATTGTGTTTCAAACCAAACACTTGGTTTCCTCACAAAATCAATTACAAGACATTTACATATAATTATACAGTTAAAAAACAACATGCATTGTTTCACAAATACTATCATACAATCTTTCCTTTTTCAAATAGCTCCCGACGCTGATTAAAAAGTTTATTTATAAAATGTATCAATTCGTTAACAATTTCAAAATCATCAGAAGTCATCAAAAAGTTATATTTTTCTTCATCCGACATATTATCAAATGTGTCAATAAAACTTAGTTTATTAAAAATTCAAATCTACATTTTTTATAGCCATCACACACAAGAAGGAAATGTTTTTCATCCTCTACTTCCCCCTTATTGCAAATCTGACAAATTCTTTCATTTATTTCAAGTCGATGCTGTTTAGTGCCATCTTTTTTCTTTTTCTCGTGTCTCCCTGTTTCAATTCTTAAATTATGGTTTGCTAATCTAAACCTGGCCATTTTAAAAATTAACATTTTGTTCACGCTTAATGTTAAATATCTTTCCAGATTGTAATCAATTTTTATATAATTTCCAAGTTTTCTATTTTCCCTTATGGTTCTATCATTAAGTTCTATATATTTTCTTTGCATTTCAAGTTTAATTGCTTTTAGTAATCGTTTTATTCCAAACGTACTCCCATTTTCAAAGACATGTTGAAAATGAAAGTACTTTAATATGCATTCCATATGTTTGACATGTATGTTATTTTTATCCCGAAATGATATATTTATTAAGCTATCCGCGTTTGTTTGATGCACACATTTCAACCAATATTTTATGGAATATATAAGTGAGTCTATAGCTAATGGAAATCTTCCTAAATCCTTTTTGACGGCATAACTTGAAGTATATTTGTTAACCCCTAAAAGGAATTTGCAAAATTTATTGTGTATTTTTTCAGGAATAAAGTCTTCATAAGAACTCTCTAGTTTAAGGTCCCCTTGACTAATCCTTCTGTCAACTTTCAAGTGAAGCATTGACCAAAATTCACTTCCGTATAATAATATAGGCTTAACACACATGTCAAAGATTTTTGTGTGCAATTCTACATTGATAGTTGAAAACTTAAAATTTTGTCTCATTTGCTTAATTCTGATGTGTCATGTTTCAAACTCCCAGAGCTTTTTAAAACAAATCCCAAATATTTATATTCATTTACTTTTTCTATATTTATACTTCCAAATTTAAAATGACTGTGCTTTATTATTTTTCCTGATTTATTAAAAATCACAACTTTCGTTTTTTCAATATTAATATTTAATTTCCATTTTGAACAATATGTTTTTAGTTTATCAAGACAGTATTGTAGTCCCTCATTTGTTTCTGATATCAAGACCAGATCATCCGCATATAAGAGTACATTTATTAACGTTTTATCATTACTACTGATTTTGACAGGCTTACATTGGTCATCAAAAATATCTATTATGTCATTTATATATAAGTTGAAACATAAAGGACTGATTAAGCAGCCTTGTTTTAATCCTAATTTAGAGTGTATTGGACTTGTTAACCCGTTTTTAAGTTTTACTCTGTATATGACACTTGAGTACATGTTATCGATTATGTCATATATTTTGCCTCCCATGCCTAGATTTTTTAATTTCTGCAATAAAAGTGGCCTGGGTATGCTATCATAGGCTTTTCTGAAATCTACAAAGCATGTATATAAATATTTCCCTACCGTCACGTATTTATCAATTAGCTGTTTCAATATCAATAAGTGATCTGCAGTTCGGCAATTCTTTTTAAACCCGATTTGTTCTCTATGAATTATATTTTGCGACTCTATGAATTCTTCCATTCTTTTATTCAAAATATCCGCAAACAATTTACTCATTGCACTTGATAACGCAATCCCACGATAATTATTTGGTAATAAATAATCTCCACTTTTAAATAAAGGTTTAATTAGACTCTCTCTCCATTGAGTAGGGTAAATGTTATTGTCAAGGATATTATTAAAAAGATTTCTTATCACCTGTATCAACATGTCTGGACTATTTTTTAACATTTCATTTCTAATTGAATCTAAACCAACGGCTTTATTGCTCTTCAACTTATTTATACTTTTTTTAAGTTCTTTCATTGATATTCCACGATTAAAGTGTTCTATGTCAATAAAAGTATAATTATTATCCTTTTCGCTATCATATTTACCAACTTGTTCCATATTCTCTTTCATTAAATCTTTGAAATATCGAACCCATTTATCGGGAGCTATTTGATTACATTTATCATCCTTAACATCATGTTTACCATCTTTGAATTCCTCTATGGTTTTCCAAAATGCTTTCGGGTCATTTTTTCTAGTTTCATTACACCTCTCACCAATTTATCCTTATATTCTCGTTTCTTTTTACGTATAACTGATTTATATATTTTTCTTAATCTATACAATTCTTTAATATTTCCATCTGTTGGGCATTGCCCTACTAGTACTCCAATATTTCTTATTCGTTTTTTCAAACATTTACAATCTGTATCAAACCATTTGTTCTTCACCTTCTTGGTCTTATAAATATCAACTATTTTTTTAACAATATCGTTCAGGTAATCTTTGTTGCTATTATACTCTCTAAGTTTTATTCCCATAACATGTTTTATTTCTTGTTCAACTCCAACTGAGCTCATGTGTACCTTAAACTTTTCAGCAATAATATCATTCCATTAAGGAGTCACGGGAATTGGTTCTAGATTCGTAATATCTTCGTTATCGTTCAACACTCTTACCATGTCTAATGCAACACATATTTGACAATGATCAGAAAACTCTGTTAAATCTTGAACCTTAAAAAACAATACTTTTTTTAATAACTCTACATCTATACTTCATCCTAGATCTACAATACAGAAGTCGATTGTCGGAGCACCGTTGTACTGGTAACACGTCAATTTCCCCATACTATCACCCACTGTCCTACCATTTAGAATACGCATCTGACTTGACTTTGCCCCATGCATCAGTTTTTTCATATTTTTGGGAATTTCTGTCCCTCATAACATTATCTACTTGGTAATTTGCTGGTAGGAAATCATTAAGCTCGTCATTATCATCGTCCTGAATGAAATCTTTATCCATTTGGGCATTTACGTGGGCATTCATATCCCCCATTATCATAACATTCCCCATTTTTTTAAAATTAGCTACGTCCATCTCAATTTTTTCAAAAATTGATTCTTTATTATTTCTACTTATGTTATATTTTGAATTTTCTGAAGGTGGTCTATACACAAAACATATATAAATATCCGCCATCAACTTGAAACCTTTTTTTCTAGTTTAATCCATACATAATCATAATCTCCACTTTTAACAAATTTTACAATATGTCTCAACTTTTCTTTCACATAAACTGCCATTCCTCCATGTATAGATTTACCTAACCTTGGTCGAATAAGTTTTTTCTTTAAACTGTACCCATTTATATCGATATTATCACTTTCCATTGCTTTAATTTCACTCAATGCAAAAATATCAGCTGTTATTTCGTTGATAAATGTATCGTCTTCTAGTTTCGACAATCGACTTCCATCCTCCCTTTTAAAGAGACCATGTACATTATATGATGCTACCTCGACGTTAGATATAACCATGTCTGTTCTATTATAAACTATGAATATATGTTATTATGTTCAGCTAACCAGAAAATCTACTCATGAAGTGTTTTTCAACTATACTTTTTCTTTTCAAGTACAATTATACCTTTTTTCTTTTCAAGTACACACTTGCAGTTTTCATGCAAATCAACTGTAATTATACTTAATGAAGTCATGCATCGAATATATCTTAATAAACCTTACAGCTATAGAAACAAAAACAAAAAATAAAAAATAACTATAACATGTTTGTCTTTCATGTCAGAACTGAATATCGTTCTTAACGTAGCACTGAATTATTGTCTTTTATATTCAGCGCCTGTTCTGTACAACCTTATTTAGAGCTTCAATCAAGAGATCTAAACTACTCTGGCCTTGACACTCGTCGCGACTATCATATACGTGCTCGGTTCTATCAAACCTCTTGTCAGATCTATTTTCTCGATCGTTGGGCCATCTACCGTTTATCGTATCTCCTCTTCTATCTTCATTGGTGTTTCTCCCCCTATTTCGGTCTACATTCCATCTGTGTGTGAAAGGTTGTATGTTTTTCGTGTCATTGTCCATGAACT